TGCTGAGGAGCTGTCCTGGGTTTAGCAGTGGCAGTCATTTTTCTCTTTCTTGGTAGCTGGTGCAGGGCTGTGTTTTGACTTTCGGGCTGGGAACAGAGCTGATAAAAATGATGTTTTGGTTTGGCCAAGGACTTTGTGAGCCTCATGCTCTGCCAGGGAGGAGGGGAAGCTGGGAGGAAGCAGAGATAGGACACCTGACCCAAACTGACCAAAGAGGTATTCCATACCACAGCACGTCATGCCCAGGATGTAACTGGGAGGTACCCAGAAGGGCTAGGTGGACTGCAGGGTTGGAGGAGGTATCGGTCGGTGCTTGGTCGGGCTGGGCGGGCGAGTTATTGGTCACCTGGTGCTGAGGTGTTGTATTCTCTTCCCTTGTTATTTCCTTTATCATTACTATTATTGGTGGTAGCAGTAGTGATTTGTGTTATACCTTAGTTACTAAACTGTTCTTATCTCAACTCGTGGGAGTTACATTCTTTCTGATTCTCCTCTCGTCCCTCCAGGAGTAGGGGGAGGGCAAGAAGGGGGGGGGAGTGGGTGAACAAGTTGTCTGGCTGGGGTTAAACCACGACAGAAGCTCAGAATTTGATGCAGTACTCCGGATGCAGCCTCACCATAGCAGAGTAGAGCAGGAGGAAAACTGTTCTCAACCTGCTGGTCACACTCTTTCTGACGCATCCCATGATACTATTGGCCTTCTTGGCCACAAGAGCACATGTTTAATTTCTTGTCTGCCAGGACCCCCATGTCCTCCTCCACAGAGCTGCTTTAGAGCAGGTCAACCCCTAACCTGTACTGGGCTGTGGGGTTATTCTCCCTAGGTGCAGCACAGTGCACTTGTCTTTGTTGAACTTCATTATGTTCCTCTCCCCCCAACTCCCTAGCTTGTCCAGATCTCACTCAATGGCAGCATAGCATTCTGGTGCATCAGCCACTCCACACAGTTTTGTATCATCAGCAGATTTGTTGCGGGTACATTCTGTCCCTTCATCCAGGTCATTGATGAATAAATTGATAAAGACTGGAACCAGTACTGACCACTGGGCAACACTGCTACCTTCAAGCCTCCAGCTAGACCCTGTGTTGCTGATCACAACCCTCTGAGCTCTGCCATTCAGCCATTCTCAATCCGCCTCACTGCCCAGTCATCTAACTCACACTTCCTGAGATTACCCTACAAGGAAGGTATAGGAGACAGTGTCAAAAGCTCTGCTGAAGTCAATATAGATAACATCCACTGCTCTCTGCTCATTCACCCAGCCAGTCATTCCATCAGAGAAGTCTATCACATTGGTCAAGCATGATTTCCTCTTGGTGAATCCATGTTGATTACTCCTGATAACCTTCTTTTCCTTCACATGCTTAGAAATGACATCCAGGATGAACTGTTCCATCACCTTTCTAGAGACAGAGGCTGACTGGGCTGCAGTTTCTTGGGTCATCATCCTTGCCCCTTATGAAGACTGGAGTGACAGTGGCTTTCCTCCAGTCCTCAAGCACCTCTCCTGTTCTTCATGACTATGAGAATAATCCTATTTCTTAAAATGGACAGGACAGTAGATTCTTCCCTCATCCCATCCACCAAAGCTGTTCGGTTGGAAAAACACTGCAGGGAAAAAATGTCGGCTAGCAGAAGACATTTCTTCACATGGATTGCTTCCCCGCATATACTATAAAAGACAGCAAAACTAGCCATTAGATGGAGACAGTCTTGTGTCATGGTGGGTGCTCCACTCCATTCTGTGTGCTATAGCAAATCTTTACAACAAGAGGACAAATGTCTTGAAGAGATAATAATGGAAGCATTTACTTTGCTCCTTCTGCAATCTTTTGCAAAGAAAATGTTTTCTACTCAAACGTCCAGTGTACCTTTTAAGACATTTAGATAACCTCCCTTCCCTTGAAACTATGCTAGGTGTCATGGCCATATTTGCAGACTACTATTTGCAGAGGTAATGAGTTGCGGGCCTATCTCACTAGAGAAGCTCTGTGCTTGGCTGAAAGCAAGCCTTTTGTGATTCCCATCCTCACAAAGCCACATAATGGTAGAGAACTGTGATCCAAAAGCTAAGCTTTCATTAAAGCCAAAATAAAACTCATATATAAATAGAATATGAACCAGGTCATTCTTGCCAATCAGAATTTGCAGACAGTCTGAAATAATAGCTCTGGGCAATATATAAACTGTTCCCATTCTTCTCAATGTGGTGCTAACTAGGAAATCTAATTATCACAATTTAAATGTCAGTATCATTAAATATTTTGCTACTGAATACTCTAACAGAAACAACCAGCTAACATACTCTTATTACATTCCCAAAACATCTCCCAGATTTTTCAGTGTGTGCCAGATGTACCACCTGTCCTCTGCCCAGTCATCAAACTCTATAGATTGCCCCCAAAAATTCCTAGGCTACAAGGTAATTCAGCATTGTCAGTCTAACAGCCTGGGACACACCTTGAAAATAAACAATTTGGGAGAAGATAAATAACATTTAGTGCTGAAATGCATAAAACATGTTTTGTAGGCTGTAACACTCATTTAATTCAATATAATACTGATTTTAATATCCATTTTTATATGCAGTTCAATACAGTAACATGCTCATGATTGCATTTATCTGGATCTTCCATGGCATTTCAGACAGCTTTCTTCCAGTTTTTTTAGGAGCTGGTAATAGATGTTGGCTAGAAAAATAATGCAACACATAAAAGTAATTTTTTATCAGAAAAAAATAGTAGACATTGCTGCAAGTTTCTCAGTACAAATGCCTTTCACTTATTGTTGCATATGCTGTGCCAGAGGCTGTATTTCACCTTCAGCAAATGACTGTTAAAAACCAGCAAACAAACTCCTGATTTATTTCACCATCCAACCAAAGTGGGGTTTTTTTCCCATTGAAGCTCAGAGGCTTTTATTGAAACACTTGAATCAATTCTTTGTTTCAAATAAAAAATAAATTTTTAGGCTTACTTGTGATCAGCAGCAATAATAAATTACATCCTTTCAGTTACTGATATACATATTGAAAATTGCATTGAATAATCTCTCAGAAGGCAGCCTGATATGGGGGACTCTAGTAACCAAAGACCTGCTTCTTATTTTTATCTTTGATGTCAGTTGTTGTCCATGGGTAAAGCCATGAAGAAAGCCTGAAGAATAAGTTGTGTTAATATTATTATGCAACTTAAGTAAAAGCAAGCTTAAGAATATGAGAGATGGGCAGCTAGAGAACAGACTAACAAACAGAAGGCCTGATGACCATCAAAAGAGAAGCAGAAGTTAACAGGTAGAAAAAATGTTGTGGGTAGGGGCATAGGACAAGTAAGAATATATAATAAAGATACATGACATGAACAGAGCTCATGGAGCATTTAATGACCTAGAGTGTGTGTCCTCATGATTGAATAAAAATAGCAATCACAAAATAGACACTCTATGTATGAAATTAAAAAAAAAAAAGAAGCGTAAGAGACAGGTTTATGTAAAAATGCCATTGTATGACTGAGCTGCTGAATAGTTGGATTCCCCTGCAGTCTCTGTGGCTGGTAATGCACAACATGGGGCTTTCTGTTTGCTGCAGTGCCCAAAGGGTGGCCTATGCACAGTAGCTCCTGTGCCAACACTAGTCTTGCAGCTGGGGTAAGGTCAGCTCCCAGACGGCTCCTGAACATGCCAGTGGACAGTGGGTGAATGGTTCTATCCATGACACTAGCAGACCTCAGCCCCAGACACCTCTGATGTTAAATATAATAGTGGTCAATAGGAGAGGCAGATCTAGAAGGATCAGCCAAAGCTGTTTAAGGAAGGGCACAGACACCTAACTTTGGATGCTGGCAGAGAAAGATGACCAAATTCCAAACTGCAGCTCTAAGAATATGCAGTGTGCCCATCCCCGTGGAGCCACCAGAGAGTATTGCAAGTTATCACATCTATAAAAAAAAATGATATAAAATTTATCTTTAAAAATCATATGTTTGAGGTAAGACTTAAGGAACTCCAGGAGCTCCAGGAGCTAGACTTATCGCACTGAAGACCTCAGAAAGACTGTATCTGAATTCTTGATGACGAAACACATTTAATGTTACTGTCACTGTGCATGCTACAGAAGTAGGGGCAGTCAGTGGCACTTTGAGACTGATTCTCCAGTATCTTTTGGATCAGATATATAAACATCTGCCCCGGGAACTACACAGATGGTACAAACTGAGCAACTATATCCACAAACTATGCCTTTATTTCCAGATGTGCAGGTGAGATCCATCTTAAAAAAAATGTCTCCCTGATGATGTCATCTTGGACAGGAAGATAAATGAGAGCTTTTTGTGCCAAGGCAGAGGTACTTACCACAGTGTGTATATCACTGCTGTCAAAATCAAACTGAATGCTTTGTAGTTTTAGATCAGGAAACACAAGTTTCTTCTCAGAATCATCTCTAGGTGAGATTAAAATTCAAGTTGTAGTTCCCTTTAAAATGGAGGCCACTACAGTCTGTGTAGTTGTGCCAAACTTTTCCAGCTTGCCAATTTGTTTGAAACAGGGAAAGCATCGTTTGGACGAGTACTCACTGTGCGCTCAAAATAGATCCTAGTTGTGCTTTTGGAAACAACTAATCAATCAGCACTTTAATACAGAGACTTTATTTCCCATCAGTGTCATCCCTCCATAGAGCTGGCATACTGCACTTCAAAACTTCTCTCATTAGGTACTCCACAGAGGCCCTTTATTCACTCAGGCTTACCAGCTCAAAACACACTTGTCTTGTTTTAGTGTCTCATAACCAAAAAGTACAGCGTGGGCTACTGCTTATTTTAGACTACCTCCAAGGGCTAAGTGAGAGCTCTCTGGATGCACCTTTGCCATCACTTTTGGAATGGTAAGTCAGTGAAAAAAAATGTTTTTTGATAGCCAGGTCCCAGAGACCAAAGATCCTGAAGTCTGCTGGCTTGGTGAGGAACCATATAAGAACAACTCAGATGGGGACAGCACTGGGTTTCTAATGGTATTTTGTTCTTGCTCTGTCTTCTCATCTCTTTCCAGTCTGCTAGTGCTCTGAGCAGAGTGTGTGTGGTCTCTCTGCAGCCATCCAGAAGGAGAGAATTAGTGGTCTTCTTCATGACATGATTAAAGAAAAAGCAGGCATGTAAAATAAATACAAATTTACTGGGTTATGAACATTGTCATTGGGAATTGAAACAAAATTCAAATTTTAAATTAGTATTTAAAAATCTACCCCTCCATAGATGAAAAAAAACCAACAGAAAATTAACGAGATATTCTGTAGAGGGTCAGATCTGTTTCGCATCAGTTTCTCAGGGCTCTCTGGAGAAGAAAAGTCCCCGGAGGTGAGGGGAATCTTAGCCGCCAAAACAAGTCTGTGGCAGGGCCTGGAGGTATCTGTGAGTCTCACAAGATAGTGCTGGCTGGGAATAGAGTATTTCCAAGTAAGCAGTGCTTTATTGTGTGCCATGCTGCAAATACTTTTGCTGTTCTGATCTTACCAAACTGTAAACTATTCTCTTTTCTGCTCCTGGGGGATCTCGCAAAGGAGAATTATAAACAAACAAACTAAACCCTTCTCTTTGTTCCTGTGTCCTCTGATTCTTCAGTGAAGTTCTCCTTTGAAGAAGAGGCCTGAACTGCACCTGAATGGGTAAGCTGAGCTGAATAAATACATTTTGATGATTTGGAATTTCAGAAGTCCTCAGCAGTATAAAGTACATTGCTATAGATCCACCAAAGCATTTAAAAACTATGTTCAAGGCTCTCAGTGCTGGTGATATTTGACCTATCATAAAAGTAATTTATTTGGCATCATCCCTTCCAGAAAGAAAACAAGCTAATGGCTTATTATTTGATAAGTGTTTTCAATGGAAACATTTCTCATTCTCGAATAAAGTTTTCATCCATAAAAAGTATCAAATCGATGGGAGAGGTCTTTGCTAAAGTGAAAAAAGGATCTTTTTGAAAAGTCCTTTGCTTAGCTTAAATAGCTTGCATAAGCAATACAATGATGTGTCTACTTTCAAAACTATTTTCATTGAAAGCATAAGAAAACTTTAAACAAGAAAGAATTTGTTACTTGGTTTTGCTCTAATACAGTATTTCTTTCTGCAAATGATCTGTTAATCGAAACACAAAATGAATGTGCTTTTTCTTCCACCTGTGTATGTTATTGTAATTTTACTTTATTCAGCAACTTTGAAAGGTATTTCTTTTATTGCTGAATTTTCTTTCCAATTGAATAAACATATATCTAAAATATATAATGCAAAATGCACACTTAAAAAAATTGCTTAGTTGTAGAAATTAGAGGAATTAGGGTCGTTACCGCAAGGAGAGAAAAATGCTGGCCAGAAAGTTCCTGATGCATACTTCCCCCTCTTAGGTACCAGCCTGGAAGCTAAAGCCACTCAGAGATAATTGTAGGCAGCTTTAGAATTACCCCCAGGCCAAGAGGACTCCAAAGTGCAATGCAAAGGGGCCATTTGCAAGAGTTCAATTGATTGAGGTAGACTTCAGTAAAGGTAAATGCAAATAATGACTGCAAAGATGAGCTGTTTCAATGACTGTTAGTCTTGGAAGCAAGTTTGAGTGTCAAAAGCCTTATGTCTGTGTTTACCAGCAGTACAAAAGTTCAGTGGAGGAAATTTTTATAGAGCCATCATTCTTCACTAAATATTGTGAACTATTGATAGAAAGCAATTTTAGAAAAATCAGTACCAGCATTTGCAACACCTTGCTAACATAAGGAACAGAAACCTATCAGGTAGCTCACAGAATTTACCTAAACTGCTAATAAAGAGAATTCAGATGTATTTTCTTCATTTTATAAGTTCATTTTTGTTCAATAACAATGCTATTTTATTATACGTTTTACAAGGTGGAATTAGTCTAAACTAGTGAGAATGGCCCTATTTCTATTTAGAAAAAAAAAAAATAAGGTAAGAATCCATTACAGGAGTCATTGCCATCCTGGTAAGACTTACTCAGATGCACTGTTTGCTTATTAACCAGAGAAGACAGAGTTTTCTATCCTGCTGGAAGCACGCACTGTGTTCGGAAACATTCCTTATCTCTCTATGTCCAAAATATTGATGTGGGAACCTAGAAATGTTCCTACCTATTACACTCATGCAGGAGATGGCTTGAAGTCTGAAGTCTGCAGAATGCATTTGGTTGTGCCAAGTAGTTCCTGCAACTCTTAAATCCTAAAGGGTTTTATACAAATCAAACTGCAGACATCCAAACTCATGTCTCACAGACTAGAGGTTTTAGAATTTTTCCACAGGATTAATTATTTATTGGGACCTTGCTTGGGCCTGGGGTACAGTAAGGGAAATTGCGTTTGAGTCTGACAGCATGATATCCTCTCTCAAGTCTGGGCTCAGCCATCAGTATCCATATCAGCTGCATCAGCCAGTCACAGACTGGAACAAAATTTGAAATACATTTTAGGAGCAATTGCTGATGGTTTCCTGCCTATAAGCAAGGTAAAACAGATTATATCTACAGTCCCAAGGCACCTTTTTCCTTCTAGAAAGGTAAAATTTTCTAGATCAAAATACAGTTGAAATGAGGAGTAGATAAAAATGGATAGTAAACTATCCTAGTTTATCACATTGCCTTTTGATAGCATTTGCTATAGGTAAGTTTGTAGGACCAAGGTTATAAATCTAGGATTTTAATTATAGAATTCTTAAGTTAAGAATATTGAGTATATGCTGTCAAATATTTAATTTTGAGTCGTTCCCCCCCTGTTAATAGATGGAATGATTTTGCCAATGAATGCTATTGATTTTTTTTTTTTCCATTTCACAGGTCAGTCAAAAGTACTTTCATTTAAAAAAACAAACCCCACATTTATGCAACAACAAAATCTTTTGAGAGTTGAACTTGTACTGTTACTTATACTGCAGCATCCTTGTTACTTCATGGTAAAGTTAAAGTTCCACCAATTTAGTCCCTGTAATAGGGACTTACTTTACAAAGTAAAGCTGCTGCGTGGAGACCTCATAGCAGCCTTCCAGTATCTGAAGGGGGCATATAGGGATGCTGGGGATGGACTCTTCATTAGGGACTGTAGTGGTAGAACAAGGGGTAATGGGTTAAAACTTAAACAGGGGAAATTTAGATTGGACATAAGGAGGGAATTCTTTCCTGTTAGGGTAGTGAGGCATTGGAATAGGTTGTCCAGGGAGGTTGTGAATGCTCCATCCCTGTCAGTGTTCAAGGCTAGGTTGGACAAGGCCTTGGATAATATGGTTTAGAGCAAGGTGTCCCTACCCATGGCAGGGGGGTTGGAACTAGATGATCTTAAGGTCCTTTCCAACCCTAACTATTCTATAATTCTATAAAGTAATGAATAAAACATTATGCAATTCCTACAAATATCTGGTATCAATGTAGAATGTCTTAATTCAATAGAACTTAAAGTTTCCACGTAAGACTTGGGAAAAGGTATCGTATTTAGGATAGAGCAATCCATAGTAACACAAATCCATCTTCATTGTGAGAAAAAGTTCCTCAGGACTGCCGTGCTGATTGAACTGTATCTTAGCCTTTATCTTTCGTCGCAATAAAATTTGGTAGTCAATATCCATTAGCTGTTTTCCTTCTGTCTTATAAATCTGAACTAAAATCTCAAATCCTGCTCCAGCATCTTGTTTTATTGTAGCCATGAAATTTAGCCAATAATGTTCTAATTCAGGGAAGCACTTAATGGTTACATTTAAAAGTAATTTTGTTCTTTTAGATGCTTTACCAAGAAAGATGCTAGAGGACTAAAGCCGCATACAATGTTATCAAAAGAATGTAAAACACTTAAAATCAACTTTGTAAATAACATAAAAATGTTAATTTTTCTCTTATTCTCAAGCTAAAAGGTCATGGCGTAAATGCTAAGTGACAAGTTTGACTGCAATATTAATTTGAAGGCACAGTACATCCTCTGAACTCGCACAGCCACAGGCTTATCAGAGAAATGGTAACACATAAAACACATAGTTGACCTTCTTTCCAAACTGCTGAGCACACTTTTAAGGCTTTATATTTTACTGCATGGGTGTGAGGCTCTGCTCTCTGCTGGGGCAGATCATGGGGGCCCCACTGAAATCAGTACCATACACTCCTTCACACTACCCACGACTCTAGCATACATCATGTATGGCACATTACCTGCAGGTCTACTTCAAAGCAGCTCAGAGAGATTTTTAGCATCTAAATTTGTTTCTGAAAACCAGACTGATAAAACGAGTCTTAACCACTGCAAGCAATACAGCCTGATGGATTACATGTGTAAGGTACAGTGTAGTGGGACAAAACAGTATGAATAATTCACAGAAAAAGTTATGGCTCTCACTAAAATAAAAAAATACATGGAAATGCATATTCATTTTTCTTCTTTAAGGACTTCATATATTCTTTAGTCTTTATACAAGTAACACTTCGAAGTTGGAATACGCGAGAATCTTCCTGCTTTGTTAATATCCCAGGTTACAAGCCTGCAGCTCTTTATATGCTCTTACCAGTTGCCTCACTAAAGTGATGACCATAAGTGGTGACTTCCAGTCTCACTCATAAAACACACACTAATTACAGGTAGGGTTTTGTAGTGTGGTTAGATTTTTTTAAGTGAGTCTCCACATTAATATTGAAGCCAGAAATGATAAGTAAAGCTAATAGCTGTCTTCTGTTGGGCCAAGTTTGAAAAGTGGACAAGGTGTCTCCTTTGCTTACAGATTCACTGTCTTTCCAGCAAATCTGAAAAATTATAGTCTCAGTTTTGAAAAGCTTTTTTCCTCCACTCATGTGCTTGAGAAAGATGCTACTGGTGTCAAAGAAGAATTGGACTTAGATGCATCCATTCTGCCACATCTACAGTTGTGTGCATTTGATTTTAGCGTGTGGAGTTAATAAATTGTACAAAAGTAGCCAAATATGTCAACATATTTGTAGTTATTGAGCCTAATTATTGCTATTCTGTATTTCTTAATACATTACCTATTGTTTACAGAATCTACTTCATTTTTCAGCTCATTTGAAGTCTTTTGTTTTTTTTAAGTAGGGCCCTCATGAATGTTAATAATCTCTTTTTTCCTGTAATAACTAAGAAGCCAATTTGAGGTCCTGTTTTAATCATTAGTTTTGATCCCTTTATTTAAAGTTGAAAATTAAATTATTAAAAAAAAATAAAAGAATTCCATGTTGATACTCACCCAAGATAAACATTCTCTCACTAGGGAATTATTATCATCTGTCAGTCACCAGTGTGAAGGGGATGGACTAATTTTCTGGACTTTTTTAACAATAAATGTGCCACTTTCTTTTGTGAAAAATTTGCAGCTGTTAGGAAGATTAACCCTTCCTCTCCAGAAGAATCTGTGGGCTTATCAGGGAGAACAGTATGGTCTGAAAGTACATGTAAGTCTATTAAACAATCCTGCTTCAAGCATTTTGTATTTTTTAAATATCGCATGCCCTGCAGATTATTGATCTTAAGCATATTGCAGTGGTCCTTTTGTAATCAATCCATGAGCCGTGCTGTAAAATCACATACAAGAACGTAAAGGGTAGTAATAATAACCGTCACAGCAAATGTAAATGTCATAAAGGAATGACATAGTCAAAATAAAAAGGCTGTCAGGAAGCACCTTTATAAATCTTCTGATCCTCTGAATGTTTGCAGCTCACTTGTCATCTTTATTTTCTCCACTATAAAAGCCTAAGCTTTAAAAGAAGAGAGTAAAAAGGCAGCATGAGTATGCTCTGCTCAATATCTTCTTAGGCTTGTGGCAGCTCACATGGAAATAAAAGCAGCCTTACCTACAGCTGGACCTGGTTGTCCATGTTCGTTCTAGACCACCTATGTCAGCAGACGCAGTGCCTGTCTGGCCAGAGGCAGGACTGGCTTGTTCTCTAAGGACCACCCAGCTGAACATGCGGCCAGGAACACAACTGGGAAAGCGCAGGCTGGGCAGAGTGGGGCAAGCCCCATAAATCACAGTGCCTGCCTTAGCACCAGCTCTGATTGCCAGGCCATTTACACAAACCATAACAAATGAGTCCCAAAGGCAGCCCTAGCAGTGGACATTTCCAGCAGCAGAGTGCACAAGCCCTTGCAACAGGGAGTTTGCCCTGCACAGTGCAAGGCTAAAAGCAGGCACTGTCCCTGCAGCTCAGCTCTTTCATGGGAAACACATCCCAGGACAAGGAGCTGGAGGTTCTGCATTGTGTTTCAAGCTCCTACTGCTGCATCAGGAATAAAACACAGGTACAACTGCTACAGCAAAATGCAGTTATAAGTCCCCACTACTGTGCATTGTCAAAAAAGAAGTAAAATGAGAGAGAAGTCAAAACAAGGGAATGTGAAACGTGAAAATTATTATAAGATGATTGCAACCTGTAGGCTCATCCCATCTCATCAGGGGTATCTAAATCCTTCTCTCCCCCCCTCTTCCTACTTATTAAGGCTTAAATGCCATCTCCGAGGGCTATGCACAGTTCCCACCTCAGCTCTTGCCACAATCTCTTCTACAAATCAGGTGCAAGAGAAAACAAAAGCCACGATGTGCTTTGGGCATCTGAGTCTTTAGCATTGCAACAGGGTAGTGAGAGGCAGAGACCAATAGGGGATATGTAAAATAAATATTCCAAATCAATATTAATCTGTCTTTAACACTGAGGCACCTGTTCATTCAAAGGATTAAGGCATAAATTTCTTTCCTCCTTTAGTGTGTGTTGTTGGCACAGAAATTTGGGCTAAAATTTTCACCTTCAAATTGGAGCTATTTCTGTTGTTATCAGTGAAAAAGCCCAGTTTACAAACAGGTCAGGCTACAGAAGCACAGTTTCCACTGTCAAATTAAAGAAGGTTCAGTCAAACATAGCAAAACGCATTTTCCGTGGCCTTCACAAATAGGTTTGTAAGAGAGGATGGCTTTTCAACAAACTGGAAAGGGACGCATTTAAGGCAAATGCAATAAAGCTTTGCTGCTCCGGTACTATATAGCATCCTGAAGGGATTTATCATGTCACTGGGGTAGAGATCACTGCTTCTCTTGAAGCATTTCCTCAGACAGCCCCAGGAAATCAAGCTGAGACACACATCTGGATAGCTCTGTACCCAAATGCGTTGCATCTAGAGATGAGGAATTGGGAAGAAAAAAGCAGTAGTCCATGCACTATTACTCATTTCCACAAATTCTCAATTCAGCAAGAACCACGACTAGACTAAACAACTAAAGTAAGGTAAAACAGGGTTTTTTTTTGTCAACAAGTGTGTTTTTTTCATCCCACAGACCATCCAGACAGAAATTCCTACCTGGAGATCTGTCTAAAGGACAGTTAACTAGTATTTTATTATTTGAAAAAAGCTATCACACCATGAATCTTCAAAAAGCAGAGAAGGAAGGGTGAAACACTAGTAGCACAGCATGTTCCACTGTTTCCAATAAACTAACAGGTGTGGAAGATTAATACATTCAGAGAAATCAGAACAGCCTAAAAAATTCATCAAGCTGGAAGTATTTAAGCAGCTGAAAGAGTTATTCATACAAATTAGATGTTGCTTTACTGTTTATCCCTAAAGGAAGAAAGGTTTCATAACTTTGTGGGAGAAGCTGTATAGCTCTGAGACTGTAATATACATCTTTTTCAGACTGTTTTGTGAGAAGAGTTCTAATTGATAGCAGGATGGGACTCTAAGCCAGCTTTATGGGGCACTGATTTAAGTGCTGTAGGTTGTATGATGTTGCGGTTAGATAAGCTGCTCTTTGCACAGAGTTCTAGGGTCACTTCAAGTCAAAATTGTTTTTATGAGGGGGGTAAAACCTGTTTGTTAAAATACAAATATTTTTTCTGCTCAGACACAGGAAGACCTT